ATTCTTGCCGTGAACTGCTATGAAAAATCCTAAGTCAATGTCGTAAATTTCCACTTTGTAAAAACATAACCTAACCTAAAAAATATAACTACATTTAACAACATTATACTAAATAATAAAATAACATATTTATATTTTAATAATTGCTAATAAACATAATAAGGACTTCAAAAGAACATCAGAAGTAAGAACAGGTAAGAGAAAGCATCATTACTTATTTAGAAGAGTTTGATTTCGACCGCTAGAAAGTATCAATGGACTTTCGCATGTAACAATTTTTTTTTATTATTATTACCGAGTCGTGAGTGTGTGTTGTTCCGACAGAACCGGGAATTAATAATATCGAGTCCCGGTTCTATAATATATCAAAAGAACCGGGAATTCCCGGTACCTTCGGCACCAGGATTATCCCGGTTCTGAACCCTAGTTTTCAGTCAGTTACTTCGTTATTCTCGTACGTTTTGCGCTAAACTACCATAAGCTTTTTCTGTTACTTTTATAATATTCACGGTGAACAAATTAAATTAACCTGTATTTTACGTGACATTTTCAATGTAATATACGTATACTAAAATAATATTAAAAATTTAGATGCTTTCCGAAAAACAAATTATAATACGGTCTGCTTAGATGTATGTATCGTATTTACACGTGTTTATATCAGACGTAAATAAAATATAAATGAAATGTAGTATTATTTTGCTCTTTGCTGTTATAATGTCAAAGGTTCCGCCCTCAAATGTATCAATAACAAATTATTAAAGTATTAATAAAATATTATATTTCTTATGCATGAATATATTCTTGAAAATAATTCTGGGTTTGCCACTGTAAGAAAATTTACAAAAAAAGGTATTTTGTGTAAACACCACTGTGTTGATTAAAAACAAAATTCAATTTATTAGTGGTATATTACTAGTAAAACAAATTTACCTAACCGACAAAAAAGTGCTTAACGTTTCATGAGATATATCTCCTCCCGTCGTCAGAGGCAAAAGGAAAACACACAAAGGACGAAGAAAAACACTTTGTGAAATATTTGATTCTTATGAATTTTAAATAGTTCATTCTCTTTTTTTGCTTTTGAAGATTGCTAAACTAACAAAAACTTCAGTTTTGAATGTAATAAGTGTGGCATGTTTTAAATGTATTAAACTACAAACCTTGGTATGAGGACAGCTTTTGTATTATTACTATTTCTCTTTTGTTAAAACGTTCAGAACAGTATAGTTGGATTCTTTGGAATAGTGATCAAGGTTTTCTCTTCGGTGTTGTTTTACTTGTGAATTCCAGACAGCGCACGGCATTCCTTTCATTTCATTTAATATAATAAATAGGGCTATTTATAAATTTAGGGTTTTATACAGGGTGAGTTTCCTACGATGTTCTCTATGAGTATCTCGGAAACTACTGGAGATAGAGAGTCGGTTAAATGGAGAAAGAATTGCAGTTTTGCGGGGTCATAAATATGCGCCTTTCAGATAAACAAAAAGTTCATGGCTTACTAGATATTTCGAAAAAAACAAATTTCGGCTATTTTAAAAATTGTCCCTAATTCCATTATAAGCTATTTTAGACAAAAAGTTTTCAGATAAAAGTTGTAGATAATCACATCCTTAATGAGACCGTGTCCTCCGTTTTTTTTTCTATAGCCTGTCATTTTTGACATATGACACAAACATATGATGCCGTATGGTTAACGATAAGGTTTACAAAAGAACTTATGAATTAAGAGAGGCACTCGAAGTGGTGGTACGAGAGAAGTTTAACTAAGTCGACCGGTCCTTCTGTGAGAATAGGTAATAATCCAGTTTTAAAAAGATGTAACTCAAAACAATGGCAGATTTTTTAAACATTTTCTAAAATAACTTAAAGTGTATGCAGTGATATTATTTTTTTAAGTTTTAGTTTGTGTAATGTAAATTCTAAAGAACCGTTTAGTAATGTATTCTGACTTTTTATAAGTTATAAATCATAACAGAATAAGAATGCCATGCAATCTAAGTGAAATTAGTCAAGAAAGATAAGAATTTGCTATAACTAAATTTAAATTTTCTAACAAGTCTTGAAAATCGTTCTCTAAAAAACATAACATTCACCGGTATCCTCGAAAATGTATGGTCAAGAAAAGTTGAACCAATAATCTTACAAGCTTTTCTTCATTTGAAAAATTCATATTTAAAATTTTTGTTTATTATAATTTACAAAGTTTGGATGTGGCATCTTCACATTTATGAGAGCAAAGACGATTAAACTTGTTTCCATGGCTAACTAAGTGAAATTATTTAAAAATGAAAAGCTTGAAAGATGGCGCTTTTTATAAAGTCATGGCCAACTATGGTTTCCATTTAAAAAAACATATGTTTGTGTCATATGTCAAAAATGACAGGCTTTAGAAAAAAATGGAGGACACAATCTCATTAAGGATGTGATTATGTACAACTTTTATCTGAAAACTTTTTGTCTAAAATAGCTTATAATGGAATTAGGGGCAATTTTTAAAATAACTGAAATTTGTTTTTTTGAAATATCTAGTAAGCCATGAACTTTTTCAAAAATCTGAAACGCATATTTATGACCCCACAAAACTGCAATTTATTCGCCATTTAACCGACTCTCTATCTCCAGTAGTTTCCGAGATACGCATAGAGAACATCGTAGGAAACTCACCCTGTATAACCCATTCTCCTAAAATTTTCCTAATATTGCTTCTGACGAGCGCATCCTAGGTAAGTCACAAAAAAAAAAGTTTTTAACACAACATAGCTTACTTTATTTCATTTAAATTGTTTCCCATATAGCACGTCCAAATGAAATTACGTTTCTACAAGGGAGACACATGAGAAACAAAATATGTTAAAGTGAACCTTAGTGTTCATCTAGTTCTAACATATACATATGAGATACACGCAGGTTTATATTGATAGAATTGTGTGATACAGTGTTTACTAGTTGTATACCGTATGCACTCAAGATTCTAAAGAGTTTTTTTGTAACGTAACAAATAATTATTAAAATGATGAAATCTGACGTCGATATATGAGACATACAATGTATAAGTCATATGTATGTGTGATACTTCGTGTCATAGTTGTGCCTATAGTATACACCTTGTAAAAATGTGACGTATACACATAATATAAATATCTATATAGACACTTTGTAATAGTGTACTGTTGTGTCTACATTCTAGCATGAAACGAAGGTGTGCGCATGCGCGGATAGCTTCAGCGTAGATACACCGACCAAGTGTATCTTATGTGTCCTCTCTCCTTTCTCCTTTCTAGGAGTGGTATGTGTTAGCAGCCATTATTGTTTTATCATTCTGAAGCTCTATATAAATGGTCTGTTTGTGTGTAGTTTAAAAGAAATTTTAAGGCAAGCACAAGTTTTTAATTACCTTGTTACACCTTCCTAAGAGTATTATTAATATTATAGCAGCGACTCTTCCCTTACTCGATACCTAATTTACCAAATTTTGACTCCAATGAATGAAAAAAGTAAAGGAAAACTCCAAATATTCTCGTATAATGATAAAGAGGTTAGCTGAGTTAGCTCTGCAATATATTTTTTTTTAATTTGGAATTAATAAAAATCTAAATGAACCAGAGCACTTCAAAGAACTTGTTACACTGATACTCGGTAAGTTATTGATGGATCAATATACAGATATGTTTAATATTCAATAACCAGTTTCACATAAAATTTAAGGATGAGATTGTTAATTTGGAAATAAAATACAACAAAGTCCAACAGAGTGCTCGATGAATGAATATGCAAATAAACCAACTGCTTGGAGGGAAAAGAGGAGAAAAAAATGACTAAAGGAGGTCCACGAAATCGTGGCGATATACCAGTGTTTACCATTTTAGTATGTTGTTATACTAGGTATTTATATTTTTAATACATTTTGATACAAATTCTGTTCTTTTACAGTGTTTTCTTACTTCTGGTTTCTGCAGTGTAAATAATTATTATTATTGTGTTATTTGCGCTATTGCGTTTCATGATATAAAGAAATATAAGAATTTTATTTTTTAACCACTTAATCCATTTTATTGAAGAAAAATGGTACATTTAATACGAAAACAAAAATGGAACAATTTTAAGGCTACTTCTCTTGAACTTACGATCGAGATACTTTTGGAAAATACAAAGTTTTGCCTTCCTACTTTTCGTTCTAAAAAGATATAATTGGTGTCATTGAATAAATATTTCTTAAAAAGAACGAAAAGTTAGGCATCAAAACTTGTATTATTTCCTAAATTCGTTCATAAGAAGTAGTTTTATCTAGCACAGGATGTATATACGAAGCAAAATATACACGTATACACGCGGTAGTCACAACTGCAATGTGTAAACAGAGTTTAAACGTAATACACAAGCACTGTGTATCCTACGGCACATTGTGTATCCCTTACTTTGTGTAAATGCTATACTGTGCTAAAAAAAGTAAATGCTATACTGTGGCTACATTGTTAGGCGGACGTTTAACCTTTGTGCATACGTGTTGAACTACAATGTGTAAACGTAGCATATTTACATCGGGGGAATTGTGTCACCCTGTGTCTACATCTAATAATGTAAACACATCGTAAATGTGATTTGATATGCTGTATGGGTTGTTATGCAGTTGCCAAAATATTACCTCTTCAATTTTCTTGAACGCCCCTGGGTTGTTGTACTACAGTATTGATATTATTTACATAAATATTTTTTAAACAAAATGAAAACCTAAATCAGCGTTTTCGAAACCTAATATCCCAAGAAAATTAATTTAAGAATATTTCGATACAAGGTTCAAGAACTTGAAATTTCTAAGTTTATATAAATATATTATATCACTCGTACAGTAATTTTAGGAATTGATATATTTTTGCCCATTAAGGGTATTGCGATAACAAAGTAACAATCCAAAACTGCCTGAATTCACTTTGATATCTGACGCTCTCAATCGTCCACATACTTGATGTAACTAAGTGTATTGTTTCCATTTTCAGTTGCCATGACGTCAGTTGACGCGGTCCTTTCTAGGAGCGCCACTTTGCCCTGTGACATCAACACGGACGTCAAGGATGACCGGGTCTACATGGTTCTCTGGTTCAGGGATGGATACAGTAAGCCGATTTACAGGTAGGGGGCGTAGTTATTAATTAAATTAGGCCGCTCTTGTGCCGCTTGTAACATGTCCACATACAACGCTAATACGTTAAAGGGTAATTGACATAGAGAGAATGTTCAGAGAACGAATGCATCATTAATATACAGGGTAGAATAGTATAAATAAATAATTAATTATATGGTGACAGGGTCAAACGGTATTTATTTATAATAAACAACAAGCTTGTTAAGTTAGTTAAGCTAACTAAGGAAAAAAACAAAACTACACATAATAGAATAGAACATAATAGAACTTCTAAAAAAACGTATGGATTTATTTGTATGGTAGGATTTTGTTGTTATTATTATTTTCTACACATTCTCTTTCTGATGGATTAAATTAGTAACTCTATAGAAGAGAAAGAATGAACTGTTTGGAGCCGTCGAATAAGCTTTAATTATTTCTCTGTTACGTTTTGCACGGAATTACGTACTGTGGTTGGATATTCCAGAAAATACGGAGAAAAATACGAATTTTAGATTTCTCTTTCTAAGAAATGTTCATATTCTTTTTCAATCCATGTCTATTTACTATTATTCAAGTAAATACTGTTCCGTAAAAACACACTAACTGCCATTTGTTTTTATAGTTTTCTATATCTATTTTTTAACTAGAAAATGTGTCTCATACATTACCATATTATGTCACCATACTAATGATAAGCCATAATAGAAACTGTGATTTAATCACCAATATTAAAAAATCACGGAAACTTAACTGTTGACCAAAGTCGGGTTACCATTCATACCGTTGTTGAACTCACTTAAAAAGTTTTATTAGCTTGAATAATAAATTATAATACAAGTTAGACCTACCGAAGATACCATATTATTTTTTAGTTAAGAAAGAAGATACCATTTTTACTTTTTTATTTTTATTTTTAAAATTTTCACAAATTACACTTCCTAACACTTAAAATAATTATATAATTATTTTTTCGTATAGGCTTGGTGCATTCTCCGCCGGTTCTGCCATCCTCGGAGAATATCGTAAACAACTAGTATATACGGGTTTAAATAGCGAGTATACGAAAAATTTGTTATATAATTATTCTAAAACTGTTAGGAAATATAATTTGTGAAAATTCTAAAAAGAAAAATAAAAAAGTAAATATTTTGATATCTTCAAAAGGTCTAACTTGTATTATAATTTATTAATAACCTAACCTAACCAAACTAAAAAACGTTTTAGATGAGTTCAACTACAGTAACGAGCATAGTTTTAGTCAACGGTTTTGCTAGTTTGGTCATAATTGGGGCTATTTCGGCTATAACGAAATTTTTTAACGGTACGTAATTATAATTTTAGATGATGTTCATAAAACATGTAATCACTAGTCAATTAAAAAAGTATACCATTAATATTCAATTATATTTTATCCTCCCATAGTATGTCTATTTAATTATTTGATTATGTAACGAGCACTTTATTTCCACTTGTTTCGTCGAACTGCTTCAATCCATTTTTGCTTTTGATTAAATCGGTGAGAGAAACTATGAAGCTATAAAAAAAATTTCGGGAGAATTGAGTATCCGGGAAAGTTGAGTTATTGAATGTTATTGCACCCAGCAACGCCCTAATTACGCTCTTCTTTACGCGTTAATATTTTTTTGTCAATTTTATTAACATTTGAAATTGTAGCAACACAATACGTCGCCCAGTTCGAATACTTTTTCACTTACTTTTTACTACCCGAAACAGCGTTACATCACTCAAACCTCGTAACTGAGTGTTTCATATTCTGAATAACTGCACTAGCAAAAAACTAAAATACTTAAATATTATGACAAAACTGCGATTTCAATATTATTTTAATGCGATCAACATGAATTGGAACATCAACATGTACTTATAATTTTTGATTTCTGCCGTTGAAGCGCTGCGGTCGGAATTTGTTGAAATCAACTGAAATGCACCAAGCCTATACTCGCTATTTAAATCCGTGTATTTGTATATACCGGTTGTTTACGATATTATCCAATGATGGCAGCACCTGGGAAGAATGAACCAAGCCTATAGCCGTGGACCAGTATGAGAGTCGTAATCACGTCACTGTTTTAATTTACTGATATTAAAAAATCGTTCTGTATATTAATTAAACTGATTCTCTATTAACATTTAATTACATCGTTAATTAAAACTTTTAATTAAAAAAGAAGAAATTAATTTTTATTTAAAGTTTATGAAATATACTAGATTCACTCTTAATTAATTGATCAGATAAATCAATTTAATTAAAGCTTGCCCATTAAAATAAATCTTTGACCCACAACGTAAGTTATAAATTAAAACAGGCCCAGTTTCTAATTAATGCAAATCGCAAAAATAGATTTGCAAATTTTGCCCGTTAGAACGGATCTTTGACCCGCAACGTTCAGGTCCACGAACGTGAAATTAATTGTTTAATATTGAACTGCAGGGAACCAGGGCGGCATGATATTACACAATGGTCCCCCCTAACGTTAATTTCAAAGGGCTCCGACGTTTTATTCGACCATGGCGAAGTTTACCGACTGGGAAACTTTGCTTCGCCGGAGTTACACATAATTCCTTTAGAGTTTCGGCCAGATTTATCTGACCTTAGTTTTTGTTTGGTTGCAGCTCGCATCAAAGTGGAACTTAGAATAATAAAGTCTTCGATTATTTTTAGTTTCATTAAACTTACTTTGTATTTTGACGTTGAGTATTTTAGTATCTGACTACTTATTATAGAGGGTGATTCACGGCCATGGCACGTTAGGCGTTTACGGAGAATCGGCGCGCGGCGCGGCGATAGGATTTTTTTTGGAAAATTTGGATTTTTGCATAAAGGCACCTGATCTATCTATCTAAATTATTTTCATCATTGTAGTGTTACCGCTGCATACTAATGGTAGTAGTATGTAGCATCTTTGTTATTTTAAATGGAAAATCCGGTATATTATTATATTTTTTGAAATTACTTCCATATATCAAAACTTTTCTATTATACTAACCTATACAAATATCTAATAATTTTCGAGGTAAAAAATAAAACATGTATAAAATTGACAGAAACATGATCTTGAATAAGCATTGGTTAAATCAAGTTAAAGAAAATCGACATATTTGATCTGGCTAAACAACTAATTGGATATCAAACAGGGAGGTAAGAAATAAATCAATTAAAAAATTAAATCGGAAAATAATTATTTCCGATTTTCCGGTATTGCTGGCTGGGGCGGTGCATATTCATCCTATATAAAACTTATGGAAATAGTACAAAAGCTATTCTTAAAAATAATGTTTAACAAAAGCTATCTTTATCCTAATGATGAACTCTACAAAATGAGTAATCTCTCTGATATAAGACAGATTTATCTATAAAAATTTTTAAATCATCAATACTAAAATAAAGAAATTCTTAACTCTATTGATCATGCGTATAACACTAGATGCAAGCAATATATGCAAACTTCAATTATAAAAGTCTCCAAAGCACATATCTAGAGGTCTTATTGGTATCTAGCGCCTTATATATATAGACAACTGCCTCAGTTTCTTAAGACCTCTCTCACTTTCCATATTTTTAAAAAACGACTGAAATATTGGATAATGACAAATCCTCGAAATATGGCACATAGATTAATTGAACGTGAAATTATTGAAATGCCCGCTGTCTGAGATTTTAACACCTAGTGTATTTTTTTTCTTTTCATTTTTTATGTTTTTTTTCTATTATTCTAACACTTGTACTATAGAAAATTTTTATTTATATTTTATGTATATATGGTATAATATTAAGTTGATTATTTTGTGTTGAAAGATTATATTATTTATTAATATCTCAAATTGTTATGTGACTTTGGTTGTATGCAATGCAATCGTATTTTTTATTTATTTGACTTGTAAATTCATATGTAGTTTTTAATTTGACTTATTAACTAGTATTATATTTTTTATTTATCATTCAAGCACATAAGTAGAGGTAGAAGGCCGATTCTGCATCAGTGGAGCAGTGGAGCAGGTGGAGCAGAGCGCGTAAATCAGCTAGGAACATGTAAAATAGGCTAATAAACAAGAATAAACGGGTTTGAACCGCTTTGAACAGCTTTTGAACAGCTTTGAACGGCTTTTTAGCGTAAAACAACAGACCTGTTCAGTTTTTATTCAAACCCGTTCAAAGCTGTTCAAAAGCTGTTCAAAGCGGTTCAAACCCGTTTATTCTTGTTTATTAGCCTATTTTACATGTTCCTAGCTGATTTACGCGCTCTGCTCCACCTGCTCCACTGCTCCACTGATGCAGAATCGGCCTTCTACCTCTACTCACATATATTTATTTAATTCAAACATTTAACTATTTCAAACACAGGCTACTTTGATAGACACCCCGTAAAAGTTTTTGGACTTCTGGGGTCTTTCAATTTATTTCTTGAGTTGGAATTTGATTATTTTGTATTGAGTTTAAATATAAATATTCTTTATAACTAATATATTTATTATTTTTAAATGATATAAATTAAAAAAAACTGTAACAACAAATGAAAACATACACCGTTGCTTTTTTATTATTAATTAACTACTTTATTTATGCTGTCCTAGAATTCAAAAAAATGCAGTCACTGCAGAACTGAAACGGTGTATATTTATTAAACAAATTATGTCTGGCAGTTTGTAAACAGGTATTTGTATTAATTAGGTTACTACTATATTAGTTAACATAAGGAATGTAAAAATTTTGTATGACTTGAGAAATAAAGATTATTATTATTATTATTGTTATAGAATTGTTCAAATTATTGGAATTTTAAATTCAAACCTATGTATATTATTTGGGTTTCGAAAAATACCATGTTTCTATACCTAAACCTTCTGGTTTCTTCAGTAAAGCCATTTAAAAGATAATAATTCTATTATAATTGTTTCGTTTAAAAAAAATCGTTACCATGACAAATATTGAAATTTTATAAGTAGTATCAATTGGAGTTTACGTGCTAAATTTCTAAAATTGTTA